CCGTTTTTAAAGAAAAATGTTAGTGCCCTGGGAAGAGTTCAACGTAAAGCAGCACGGTTTTGCTCGCATAATTATCATAGATATGCTAGTGTTACTGTAATGATCGAAGATTTAGGATGGACCACGTTGGAAACGAGAAGAAGGCAGCCTTGGTTAATACTTATGTATAAGCTAACTTGTGGTCTTATTGACATAGATAATCGAGAATATTTAGTACTGCACTCCGAGAGTCGCACGAGGGGAAGCCATCAATTTAAATTTTGCGTGCCATAAAATTATGCAAGTAAAGACGTTTTCAAATTTTCCTTTTTTCCAAGAACTATAACAGACTGGAACTGCCTCCCTGAGACCATTGTTTCGTCAACTTACTTAGAAATGTTTAAACATAGGTTAGCCTTTTTAAATGATGGTTGTACATAGCTTATTTAGTTTTCGTAATTTAACTTTTATTTTCAACATCAACAGAATTGTTTTTTATTCATTTCCTTATTACCTTTATCTAGTTATTTGCTTTATTTTTACGGTTGGTGTGATATGTTGATAATTTTACCGACCTAATAACATATAAATGTAAATATCATTAAGGTATCACTTACTACTGGTGAGATGCCGAGGTATCTCAAGACTGCCATGGTGAAACCTTTGTTAAAATAATCTAATTCTGACTCTGGAGATTTCGTTAATTTTCGTGCTGTGTCCAGTCTGAAATTTGTTTCCAAGCTAGTCGAAAAAGCTGTGTTTTTACAACTTAAAACATATCTTACTACCAATGCGCTACACAAACCTCTGCAGTCTGCATATAAGACTGCATAGCACTGAAACTACAGTTTTGAAAGTACACAATGACATCATGTTATCTCTTGATAAAGGCAAGAGAGTGATCCTGATTCTCCTGGACCTGTCTGCTGCATTTGACATTGTAAACCACACCTTTTTGTTGGCGAAACTTGATAAACGTTTCGGTATTAACGGCACTGTTCTGAATTGGTTCAGTTCATACCTCTGGGAAGGCACTCATTTTGTTGACATTGATCAATCTCAGTCCTCTGTGCGCGACCTTTTTTAGTTGGTGTTCCTCAAAGTTCTGTACTCAGACCTGTACTCTATCTATCATACACATCTCCTATCTCAGAAATAATCAAGAAATACAATCTTAATTACCACCTCTATGCTGATGACACCCAGCTGTACTTGTCTTTTGATACCAGTGACGTGGATTTGGTTATCGAGCGCATAGTTGCCTGCGTGACTGAGATTTACCGCTGGATGCAAGATAATGACTTAAAATTAAATCAGGATGAGACCGATGTATCCTTAATTCATTCTAAATTCTGAAATGGAGTCTCGCTTGATCACATTATTCTTGGAAATGAAAATATCTCCATTGCTAAGTCAGTTACCAACCTTGGTATTAAATTTGACAAAAACATGACTTTTCATGATCAAATTAAACATCTCTGCAAAACCTCGTTCTTTCACCTAAGAAATCTGTTCAGGATGTGTCGTTATCTGACTAGTGACTGTGCCTCAAAGGTTATACATGCTTCTATTACTTCGCGTATTGACTATTGGAATCATCTGTACTATGGCTTACGTAAGCATCAACTTAAATTAATACAGAATACAGCTGCTCAATTTGTCACTTCGAAGGGCAAATTTGATCACGTCACTACTTTACTGGTGCAGCTTCACTGATTTCCTATCTCTTATCATACTGTGTTCAAGCTTCTGTTGCTGGTGTACAAGTCTGTCAATGGTCTCTGTCCATCATATGTTTCTGATCTACTCAAGATCAAGTTATCATCAAGATCTTTATGTTCTAGCTCTATGGACCATCTTGTGCAACCTGTGTCAAAGACAAAGACCTACGGGGACAGAGCTTTCTCTGTGTGCGCACCCAAGTTGTGGAACAGTATTCCTTTTTCAATTCGTAAATCTAGCTCCATAACTAATTTTAAAAAGAAGATCAAGACTTGTCTCTTTTCAAAATTTGTAACTAGTAATTCTCTTCTGTTTGATTGAATTTTATTTATGTGCATTAGGTTATTTTATTATTTTATAATATTGTAAAGAGCCACGAGAAGCTTTTGATGTGGGCGCTATATAATCCGACGGTTGTAAAAACTTATGTTTGCCATAAGATCATACACAGACTGGGGCGATAAACGTGGCCCAGGCTGCGCGTAGCAATAGAATCTTCCTAAAATTCTTAAAACGTAAATAAAAATTAAATAATACAATACAGATATATATATATAATAATCTGATAAATACAAGAAACTTAGGTACGGAAAATCTCTAAAAGTTATATAAGTGAGCTTCTTAGCTATCCAGTGACAATTTTAAAAGTTCTTGAAATGTTCAAGGTGTTCGAAAGGACAGCTTTTTGCATTTTTCTTAGGATCCCCTCTCCCCGGCCTCTGAATTAAGTTCTATCATAGTCACGTCTACATCTCTCGACCATCCGCCCAGGACATCAATGATGATATTATGTTGTTTGATGGTGTATCCTGGATACTGCTGAGCCATCTCCCACCTCAAAGGACCATACTTTGCAGTCTTCTCCTCGGTTTTCGTCAGCCGGTTGTCCATCCACAGTCACTACATCTCCACAGCTATCGTCTCTTTCTTCTTGACGTCAATGAAACGCGCATCTACTCTGTCCTGCTTCACAAAACTTTGCTCCGCATACATTGGAACATCCCAGAAGGCCTTGGCCTCCTGGGACTCATAGACTGGTTTAGGATCTATGGATGAGTACCAGGGGGGACCGCATCTAATTTAGTTCCAAATCCCTCAGCTTCTCAAAAAACAAGACCTTGAGGGCCGCATTGTGTCTCGACAAGTACTTGTTTTGCGCGAGAGCCGAGCAGCCAGCCAGAACAGGAGGAAGACTCTCGGGTGCTTTGTTGCACATCGTACACAGAACATCATTGACCTGTGTTGTTCTCACTTTCCTTTATTATTATTATGAATGTTGGTTGTGTGCTCCAGAATAATAGGATTTGTACGTATGATGGACGATCCTCGCAGTAGATAGCGCTATTTATGCAATAGCGAAAATCAGACCTGAAAAAAATCAGGCCTGTACTGGACTCGAACCACTGACCTCTGTGATACTAGTGCAGCGCTCTACCAATTGAGCTAACAAGCCAACTGGGAGCAGGCCGTTAAGTTGATTCGTAATAAACCCGTGAAAGTGATAAATGAGATACAATGAATATATGAAGTTCATATATTTTGAACTGCGGTATTAGATACGTATGATGCACGATCCTCGCAGTAGATAGCGCTATTTATGCAATAGCGAAAATCAGACCTGAAAAAAATCAGGCCTGTACGGGA